TCCAGAGCGGCGGCCAAAAAGGTGCTTATGGGGAAGGGGGAGGGGGGGGGGAAAGGAGCTGCCAAGCCTTAATTAGGGGCGCTCAGCGGTGCACTGTGCTAATGACCGACCTTTCCCCTCCGGTCGAACCGGCAGCGAGCGGGACGGGGAGGACGGGGCTGTTTGTGCTGAAGGGCCAAAAACGGCCCTTTCCTCCCCAAATCGGGGCTGGGTTTGGGTAATGTCTCCAAATAGGAGCTGCTGGCTGCTCGGCAGCCCTGCATCCCCCCCATGGCCACACGGCAGAGCCCCCACATTCCCCCCATCCCTCCCATTCAGACAGGGGATCCCCACACTTTCCTGCCCTGCTCCTCCCCTCTCCCTCTCTCCGCATTAACTTTGGCCGCCAGCTTTTCCCACTGACCCACTGATCTTTCCTATTTTGGTCCCAGGAATTAAGGGATTGTTGGGATTAACGGCGTTAAACCCCCGATCGGCTCTGCCATGGGACCAACATAGCAGCAGCCCCAATGGCAGCTCACCCACACGGGGCTGCCCCACTGCTGTCCCCATCAGCGCCTCCTTTTGGGCTCCACGTTGCATCATCCCTGTCCCCATCACCATCCCCACTGCCATCTCCACTTAGGACTGCAGTTCCACCATCCCTGTCCCCATCACTGTCCCCATTTGGGACCGGGGTTCCTCAACCCTGTGTCCCCATTGCCGTTCCCATTTGGGATTCGGGTCCCACTTTCCCTATCCCCACCTCTGTCCCTAATTGAGGTCCACGCTCTGCCATCCCTGTCCCCACTGTTGTCTCCATTTGGGATCAGGATTCCCCCATCCCTGTGTCCCCATCACTGTTCCCATTCAAGACCATGATTTCATTATCCCTGTCTCCTCTGCTATCCCCATTTAGGAGCAGAATTCCCCCTTCCCTGTCCCCATGACTCTCCCCATATTTGGGACCCGGGTTCCATCCTCTCTGTCTCCATCACCATCCCCATTTGGGATCCAAGTTCCTCCATCCTTTTCCCCATCACTGTCCCCACTTGGGACCCAGGTTCCACCATCCCTGTCCACATCACCATCCACATTTAGGACTGGGGTTCTGCCATCCCTGTGTCCCCATCCCTGCCCTCGTCCCTGTTTGAGACCTGAGTTGTGCCATCCTGGACCCCTTTGCTGTCCCCATTTGGGGACCATTTGGGACCAGGGTTTCCCCCCATCCCTGTCCCCATCACTGTTTCCATTTGAGACCTGGGTTGTGCCATCCTCTTTGCTGTCCCCATTTGGGATGAGAGTTCCCCATCCTGGTCCCCATCGCTGTCTCAATCACCATCCCCATTTAGAGTCCAAGTTCCACCATCCCTGTCCCCATCACTGTCCCCATTTGGGGTTGGGTTCACTGGGGCTGGGGCTCATCCATGCTTGTCCCCACAGTTGTCCCCATGGGGAGGGACCACGGCATGGATGGGATGGAGGGGTTGGGCTGCAGCTCAGCAGCTCAAAGCGATGGATATGGGGAGAGGGGGAAGGAAGAGAATGGGAACAGAACCCCTTTGAAGGCATCTGGAGATTAACTCAAGGCCGAGATGGAGACTTCTGCAGCGAAACCTCATTAACAGCATGAGCGGGAGGGATGGGGGGAGGAGAGGGGGGAGGAAAAATGTGGGATTCAGCAGAAATAAGTGGGAAAAAAGCCCCCGCGCATCGCCCCGCTCTGCTTTCATCTGTCCTGGGGGGATTGGGGCGGGAGATCGGGGCCTCTGGTTCCATGATTCCTGTTTATCTCCTCATTACGGCACCGCAGACGATTGGGGCGGTGTGGGGAGGAGGGGCCCGAACCCCAAAGCTGTGTGTTTGGGGGGGGGCAGAGGCGGTGTGGTGTTGTCCCACGTGTGATGAGCTGAGTCGGGGCTCTGCGTTGCACCCCTCGTGTCACCAGGTGGGTCAGGGCTCCGCAGTGGGTCTGCAGCCCACCTCCATCGACCTGAACCAAGGGTGACGCTGCTCCCTTCCTGGTGTCAGACCCTAAAACGTGCCCCAAACCCCTCCAACCGTCCTCACACCATCCCCAAACCCCTCCTGCTGTCGTGAGCTGTGCCGGGGCTCTGAGCTGCGTTGCAGGAAGGCTCAGCATCACTCGTGCCGCGAGTTGCACCGGGGCTCTGCAGCAAGGCTGTGCATCACTCGTGCCACGAGACGCGTCGGGGCTCTGCGGCCTCGTCTCACATCTCAGCATCGCTGCCCAGGCCTGGGGAGACGTCAGACGGGGCAGCTGCAAGCGGAGGAACAGAGGAGATAACATCAGTGGTGAGGGCTGCCGGGAGCCAGAGCTGGGTGAAAACAAAGCAGCACCTCGGCCCACTGACCTACTTCGGGCATCGCCGCGCTGCAGGGATGGGGACGAGGGGTGGTGGCACCGCGCCGCCTCCGGTGTGGGGATGCTCGGGGGTGCAGCACCGCCGTGGGGGGGCACGGACCTCTAATGAGGGTTCGGTGGGTGTTAATTGCACGGGGCTGCCCATAGGGTGCACGGGGGGCTGGCCGCTCCTTCCCCAGCCCACCAGTGGTTCTCGATCTAATTAGCCTGGTTGCGGCTGATGAAGGGCTGGGTAATTGCGGCGGTGTTGGATGTCCCTTCTAGCAGTGCTGTGAGGCATTGCATAAGCAGAGGGCGTTACGTGAGCAGGTCAGGGCTGCCCGGGGGTCTGGTTACAGCTGGCCACGCTGGCCCCAACGCAGCCCCAACCCCAAATGGGGACAGCAATGGGGACAGGGATGCGGGAGCTCCGGTCCCAAGTGGAGATGCTCGAGTCCTGGGGATGGGGGCAGTGAGCTGGGGACCTACCGTGTGCAGAGGTGACGTGGCGCGGTACCACGAGCTGGAGGTGACACCAACCACCCCCAGCACCACGCACACAGCACTGCTGCGCCCTCCCAGCTGCAGAGTGCCACATCCCCACACCTCCCAGCCCCCGGCTCTCCCCCACCGCCCCATCCCTGTGTCCCTCCCCCGTACAGGGTGACAGCGGTGGCACCTTGCGCCGCTCCATTGCTGCTGCCTGATGTGATTGCAGTGATGGCGGTGCCTTCACTGCTCTCGTTGCTCCGCTTCCATCCTTCCTCCTCCCGCCTGGTTGGGCACACGGATGGGACACGGGGTGACAGGCAGCCCCAGCGCTCCGCTTCCAGCGCACCCCGCTCACATCGCACCCAGGGAGCATCCCTCTGTGCTGGCACCGAGCCGCCCCGCAAGATCACCCTCATTAAGGTGCTGCCCTAACGAGGTCACCATCGTCAGCTCTGTCTCAGGTGGGGAAACTGAGGCTCAGAGCAATGCCTGCAGCACGTGGCTGCCCTGCTGGTGCGACAGCTGTTGGTGGAGCGAGAGCGAAAATCTGCCCTGATGCCTGGCGCAACCCAAAACTACGGGGTTGCTCACCACGCCTGCAGTGAGCAATGCTGCAGCCACGCAGCACCTTCAGCCCTGGGATCTGAGTTGGAGTGGGCACTGCTGGGGGCAGAGGCTGTGCTGTGCCCCTCCTGGATGTGCCATGACCCATCTGATGTGCCGTGTCCCCCCTGGCTGTGCCGTGTCCATCCCGGCCAGGCTGAGGGATGCTGCTCCCCTGCTGCAGGGTGGGACCCATGTTACCCATTTCACCCCAGGACCCCCGCAGATGCCTTCTGGATTTGGCAGACTTTAAACAACCCGATGACCAACTCCTGGCCTTGGCCAAACCTCACCTGGGCTCACAGCTCACTTTGTTCACAATGGGAGCAGCTGTCCCCTCCCTTTGCCCCAGCACTGCAGTGCTGAAGGGCACCAAAGCTCGCCAGCACCTCTTCCCCCCCTCCCCCCCCATGCCCTGGGGAGGGCAGTGCTGGACCCCCCCATGGAGCAGCAGACGCACACGGGTATGATGACAGCAGCACCCAAAGCGGTGTCTCCTCCTCTGGGCTCTGCCCCAAACCTCCCCCTGGCATGCAGGAATTCGGGATGGCACCACCCAAATCCCTAATCCCTGTTTGCTCTCCTTGTGCCGCACCCATGAGAGCAGAGCTGACATCCCCCACCCCCCCCGTGCCCGCAGCCCTCGCCACGGCCCTGGGGCTCAGCCCCACATGAAGACCCACACCGAGCTGACCCAGCCCTGCTGCAGTGCCGACCCCGTGGGCACTGCTGTGCCCCTTCATCTCCCCACGGCTCAGTTTTGGAGTGGGCCACATCCTGACGGTGCTGGGCACGTTCCCTGTGTGAGTCAGCGCCCCACAGCACCTTATGCAAAGGGAGAGGTGTGGGGTGGAGGCATGGGATGCTATGGGGTGGGCAGCTTCGTCCCTGTGCTGTGTGCTCAGCCTGGGGGAGAGCTGACCACTGCCCAGCAGGGGGAAACTGAGGCAGCTGTGGGGAGGCCCAGCCCTGTCCCCATCACTGTCACCATTCGGGTTCAGGGTACCACCATCTCTGTGTCCCCATCAGTGTCCCCATCTGGGGCCAGGGTTCCTCCTATTTCTATCCCTGCCATTGTCCCTGTTTGGGATCAGGGTTCTCCCTTCCCTGTGCTCATTGCTGTCCCCATGTGGGGCTGTGGTTCAGCCATTCCCTTTCGGGGCTGAGGCTCTGCCAGCTGCCTGGAGATGCATCCCTGTGTTGAATGGGGCCGCGCAGGGAATGGGGTGAAGGTGCTGTGACTCAGGAGGACACGCTCCTGTCCCCGTGCCTGGGCGAGTCGCGATGGGGCGGCCCTCCTATGGGCAGCAGAGCTCAGTGCCTGGCGTGCAGTGCTCAGCGTGCAGCTCCCAGTGTGCAGCCCCCAATGTGCAGCCCCCAATGTGCAGCGCTCAGTGTGCAGCTCCAAACATGCAGTGCCCAACATGCATCTCCCGACGCGCGGCTCCGAGCAGCGCGGGAGGGAGAGGAGGAGGAGGAGGAGGAAGGGAGACGGGCGGAGCTTGGGGCGAAAGCGATTTGTCGGGGCGGAGCCGCGCGGGTTCGTCATGTGAACGGCCGCATGTTCGGGCAGAAGTGGGTCAGCGGTGCGGAGGGGCGGGTGGAGGTGCGGAGCCGCCCGGTGCCGCCCGGTGCCCCATGAGCCGCCCGGCACCGCACTGAGCGCCGCCGGAACGATGCGAGGTGAGAACGGGGAAGGGGGGTAAACGGGAGAACCGAGGGTCCCAGGGAGGAACACGTCGGGGGAAGGCGGTGTTGGAGCATCGGGGAGCGGGGGAACGAACGGGGTGCGGGGCGGGGGGATGCGGGGATGGATGCGGGGATGGATGTGTGGATGGATGTGCGGATGTGGGGACGGCACCGCTCCGCAGTTCGATTCGTGCTTGTTTTGCCCGACGGCGGCACTGAGCTGCCCTTAAGCTCTCCCCGCAGCAAAGCCCGTTAATCTGCCGGCAATATGCCGCTGTGCTGCCGGGCGGCCACGGGGACAGCCGGGGGTCGGCGATGGCACCGGGGCGGCCGTAAGGCGCTGATATCGGGCCGAGATCGGGGGTCTCCGCGGTTTCCTCGCGCACTGATTTGTCCCCGTGGAACCGCTCCTATGAGCGGCCCCGTTCCTGCGCTCCTTTCCCTTCTGCGTAACGGGACGGGCGATCCCCCGCGACCTCACCTTCATTAGCGCTCCCGCCTCATTAACCGCAGCGCCGGCGCGGGGGTCATTAACAGCGGGGTTCAACTTTTTCCTTTCTTTCATTGCGTTTTATTCCTTTCGCCCGTCCTCTCCCCCCCCTCCCAATTAAAAAGCCCTCATTAAACGCCAACCCCGCTCCCCCCATTCTCCCCACTGAGAGTTTTTTTTCCCCATCGGGATCCCCTCGGATTCGTACCGATGGACTCAATCTCCGTTTCCTCCCCCTGAAATCGCCGTTCTGCCCCGTTCCCGACAGCTCCTCCGCTCTTCCCTCGCCGGATCTTTCCCCTCGTATAATCCTATAGGGTTTTCAGCCCTTGTTTTTGCAAACGGCGTGGCTGGGAGCGTGCGGGGCTCGGCCGCCTCTCCGAGTTGTCCCAGTGACCCAGATCTGTCATTGGGAAATCAGTGAGGGCGGAGGAGGAGCCTCCCTGCCCGCCCGGCAGTGCGTGCCCGCATGGGCAAAGGACGGCGGCACCCGATGGGGCCCGGTGCCATGGGGTCGGGGCTGACGGAGCCCTTCGTCACCTGAAAAGGTGGCGGGGGTGAGGGACGGTGGGACCCAACGGGGTCTGGTGTGATGGGCTGACGGTGCCAGACGTCACCTGAAAACACGGGGTGGGTGAAAGGCAGCGGTACCCAATGGGTGCGATGGGATCGGGGTGACAGCCCTGCTCTCACCCAAAAACAAAGTATAGGCGAAGGACGGTGGCGTCCAGTGGGGTGCGATGGGGTTGGGGTGATGCTGTCTGGATGGGGATGGTGGCTGGGCAGCGTCCTGCAGGGCTGGGATCCTTTGGGGATGGGGGGAGCAGCTCCGCCGTCTTCATTTGTGCAGTGGGGTCGTGCAGCACGCGTGGTTTCATCCCCAGGACCCCATTGAAACAGTGCAGCAAACGGAGCGGTGGAGGGGATGGGGGTCCCTGGAGCCCCTCAGAGGGCTGGAGGGGGGGGGTGGGGAGCCTGGTACAGCAGGAAGGGTCTGTGAGGCAGCGGGGTGACGCCACAGCATCGCTGCAGTGGGCTGCTCTGAGAGCTGCTGGGATGTAAATCTCACCCTGTTTATTGAGAGTGCCTTTATTTAACCCTACAGCATTAAACCCCCCCGCTTGCAGGGGGGCCTTCCCCTGCCCCATTACCCCCTTTCTCCCCTGCCCCATTGCCCCCTTTCTCCCCTGCCCCATTACCTCCACCCCAGCCCCATTACTTCCACCCCTGACCCATTACCCCCTTCTGCCCTCCCCAGCCCCATTTCCCCATTCCCCACCTCCACTGCCCTCCTCCCCAGCCCTATTACTCCCCATCCCAGCCCTGTTATCTCCATCCCAGCCCCATTTCCCCATTCCCCACCTCCATTGCCCCCCTCCCCAGCCCCGTTACTTTCACCCCAGCCCCATTACCCCCACCCTGTGCCCTCACGTGCCGCTGCCCGCAGCTCCAAAGTGCAAAGTGCTGCACTGCAGGGCCGGGCACTCAGCACCAAACCGACTGCCACCACAGCACTGTGCACACCTCAAAATGCAACCCGGCCCCATGCGGGACCCCACCACCTCCCAGGAAACCTCATAGCATCCCTCAGGACCCTGCAGCATCACCCCCAACCCCGCTTTATGTAACACCCCGATGGAGTGGATCTGCCTGCGCCGGTGACCCCGCACTTTGCTCAGCTCCCAGTCCCATGCTGGGTTACCCACAGCACGCATTTATAGGGTTGGTTGTTGTTTTTTGGGGGAGTTGCAGCCTCGTGCTCTGTTTGTACCGGCAATAAATGCCTTTTATTTATTTTTCCCTCCGCTCTCGCTGGAGGCTGCCATCCCAAAATGCAATCATGGGTAATTAGGGAGGGAGCTCAGCTCTCCTGGCCAGGGGACAGCAGTGGGGACGCAATGGGGATGGGGGGCATGCGTTGCTCCGGGGGTCCCCACACCCCCATGTGCCCCCCCTGAGCCCACAGCAGGGAAATACAGACAAGGGGTGGGGGTCTCTGTGACGGGGGTCCCCATGCCGCGGCAGGGCGCCCAGACCCACTGTGACCACGCACCGGGGGGTCCCCAAAGTCCCCATAGTGAAGGCTGGCAGCACCGTAGGGACACAGCACAGCCCACCCCACAGAGGGGGCAGCGGCCGCGGCGTTACACAAGAGTGCAGAACAGAAAGTGTGTCAGTGGGACAGGAGGACGGCGTGGGCTCGGCGGATGGACAGACGGACGTGGGGCCGATTGCCACCACGCAGCCGAGCCGGCCGGTGCCCTTACATAATGGGCAGCAGTGGCAGAGGGCCCGGAATTGGGCAACGAATATTTACAGTGGGAGGAGAGCAAACACTGCGCCGGGACAATTTAATTGCGGGATGGGGATCGCTCGTTTTAACCCTTTTTTTCTTTTTTTTCTTCCTCCTTCGTTTTTCTTTTTTGCCTCTTCTTTAGCACAGTTTTGCTTCCTGGGGAGGCGAAGAGTTTGTTTCTTCCCCCACTACAAAAAGTCTTTTCCGCACCGATCCGGTGCTCATACGGTGCTGGGACTGGCACTGCCCTAATGGGGAAACTGAGGCACGAGGGAGGCGGGCAGCGGTGATTCAGACAGGGTTACAAACAGAGCAGCAATTAAAAGCTGTTCTGACACTTAATTGCCACCACGCCGCGGTTACGGCTGCACCCCCACATCAGTTATTTGGGGCTGACGTCTCAGCTACGGGTCAGGTGCTGGCACTGTAATTAGCAGCATTCCCAATTAAGAGCTCGGAGTGGCTTCCGATCGATCGCTTTGGTTTCTCCTGTGGGGCAGGTTGGGAGATGTGGGGTCAGGAGGCGCTGCTGGGCTTCGGAGCATCTCAGCCCCTACGGACCCCCCCCAAAAGGAGCTGGGTTGTGAGGAGGGGGCATTTCTCAGCTCTCGGGGTCAGGATTTGGTAGGGATTGGAGCTTCCCCGGTGCTGCAATCACCACGCTGGGTATCGGCTGCGGGCGGAGGATGCATCACCCGGCGGCTGCAATTAACCTTGCATAACAAAGCCCGTTTCCTGCCGGGGGCGGCACAGCCTCCGTCCCCCCCAGTGACGCCGATGGGGTGGGATGGGGTCCCTGTGTTTTGTGTGGGTTTGGGGCGCATCCTGCAGCAGGAAGGGGATTCGGGGTTGTCTCGGAATGGCCGAGCGGCGGCTGCCATCACGGCGTGTGGGCTGAAGTGGGTGATGCTGAGTGGCTGCAATGGGGACTGGAGGGCGGTGAATGGAGGGCTTGAAAACCCATCCGTGGGGCAACAGGGGGCACAGGACCCCACCCCAAAGCCACATCAGTGGGTCAGTGCAGGGCACAGCGCTCCATCTCAATCCCCAGCCGCTGCTTGTTGGCCCACTGATGGCGGTTCAGGATGGGGCTCTGTGCCCTCTATTGGCCCATCATAAACCCAACTCGGTGGGCCAGTAGGGGGCACAGAGCCCCATCCCAAACCCCCATGAGTGGGTCAGTAGAGAGCACAGAACCCAATCAGTGGGTCAACAGAGGGCTCTGTTGATCCCCCAGCCACTGTTTCTTGGCCTGGTGATGGGGGTTCAGTGCCCACTGAGTTGGCTTTGTGATGGGCCAACAGAGGGCTCAGAACCCCATCCTGAACCTCCATCAGTGGGCCAGTGGAGTGCACAGAACCTCATCAGAGGGTCAATAGAGGGCACAGAGCCCAATATATGGGCCAACAGGGGGCACAGAACCCAACACCGGGCCAATAGAAGGCTCAGAAACCCATATGTGGGCCGATAGAGGGCACAGCACCTCATCTTGATGCCCCAGCCGCTGCTTCTTGGCCCATTGCTGGGGGTTCGGAATGGGGTTCAGTGTCCATTGAGATGGGTTTGTGATGGGCCGATAAAGGGCACAGAAGCCCATCCTGAACCCCCATCAGTGGGCCAATGGATTGCACAGAACCTCATCAGTGGGCCAGTGAAGGGCTGAGAACCCCAACAGTGGGTCAAAAGGGGGCAGAGAACCCCAACAGTGGGCTGATAAAGGCCTCAGAACCCATCAATGGGCCAACGGAGGGCACAGCACCCCATCTTGCTCCCCCAGCTGCTGTTTCTTGGCCCTTTGATGGGGGTTCAGGATGGGCTTCTGTGCCCACTGAGTTGGGTTTGCGATGGGCCAATAGAGGGCACAGAACCCCATCCCAAACCTTGCATAGGACCCCTGGGACGATGCCTGGGAGGGCAGGGGAAGGCAGCAGGGACTTTACCCACACCGGGGATTTGCACAGACCGTGGGGATTTTCAGTGCCCATAATCTGGCCGCAGGGTTTATTTTGGCGCGGCGGCGGCTGCACAGAACCCCTGGGGGGAAGGGGGGGATTAGCAGTGCAGCGATGCTGGGAGGCACGTACCAGTGCTATGGGGGGTGGGGGGGGACAGCAGTGGGCCGGATCTGGGGCAGCTGGAACACGAGGACGAAGCCTATTAGCAGCTCAGTGCCAGCGAAGCAGAAGCGGGAGGGAAGCGGATTTGCTGGGGGACCTTGAGCTGAGCATTGCTATATTGGGGCTGGGGGGGGCGGGTGGGGGGCACCGGCAGTGGGGTGGGGGCAGGGATGGGGGCTCACCCCGTGCATGGGGTCCGCAGTGCTCCCAGCCCCATAAGCAAGCGAGAAATGAGGGGCACCATCCCAAAACTGCACTGGGGGGGGGGGGGAAGAGGGGGGCTGGTGTGTGGATGCGCTGTGCTAAAAAAGTCTTGCAAGGGTTTTTCTGCTCCATTCCTGTGCCCCACAGCGGCCTTTTGGGGTCCTGGCATAGCGTTCCCATAGATGAGGCAGCAAGGGCTGAGCTGTGTGCAGTGCAGCAATAGGGCAGCACAGCCGTGCCTCAGTTTCCCCATCCGTTGCCTGGTTTCAGGCGTTCTCCTCGTTTCCCTCACGCTGCATTTTTCCCCTTTTGCCACAGCCCAAATCGAGGTGATCCCCTGCAAGATCTGCGGGGACAAATCCTCGGGGATCCACTACGGCGTCATCACCTGCGAGGGCTGCAAGGTGAGCGCAGCGCGGGGCCGCCTGGCTGCTGCCATCCCACGGGGCCCCTTCCCAACCCCACTGCCATCCCTTGTAGGGTTTTTTCCGGCGGAGCCAGCAGAACAACGCCAGCTATTCCTGCTCACGGCAGAGGAACTGCCTGATCGACCGCACCAACCGCAACCGCTGCCAGCACTGCCGCCTGCAGAAATGCTTGGCGCTGGGCATGTCCCGTGATGGTGAGCTGCCCCAGGGCGTGGGGCACCTTGAAATGGGGAGAAATATGTGGGTTTGGGCTGGGTTTTGTTGTTTTGTTTTGGTTTTTTTTCTTTTTTTAAATGGGGAAAATTTCAATGGATTCTGTTTCGGTTGGGTTGAGGAAGGAGGTGCTCCAATGGTGCATGGGCTGATGGGGGGCAGAGAACCCCATCACAGACCCGTATCGATGGCCAAAAGAGGGCACAGAACCCCGCTAATGACCAAAAAAAGTTCACAGAACTGCATCAGTGGCCGACAGAGGGCACAGAACCCATCAATGGACAAAAGGTTTTACAGAACCCACCAGTGGCCCAACAGAGGGCACTGATCCCCATCAGTGGGCCAATAGAGGGCACAGAACCCCATCAATGGCCAATAGAGGGCACAGAACCCCATCAATGGCCAATAGAGGGCACAGAACCCCATTAATGGCCAACAGAGGGCACAGAAGCCCATCAATGGCCAATAGAGGGCACAGGACCCCATCAGTGGGCCAATAGAGGGCACAGGACCCCATCAATGGCCAATAGAGGGCACAGGACCCCATCAGTGGGCCAATAGAGGGCACAGAACCCCATCAATGACCAAAAAAAATCACAGAACCCCATTAATGACCAAAAAAGTTCACAGAACTGCATCAGTAGCCGACAGAGGGCATAGAACCCATCAATGGACAAAAGGTTTTACAGAACCCACCAGTGGCCCAACAGAGGGAACGGATCCCCATCAGTGGGCCAATAGAGGGCACAGAACCCCATCAATGGCCAATAGAGGGCACAGGACCCCATCAATGGCCAATAGAGGGCACAGAACCCCATCAATGGCCAATAGAGGGCACAGGACCCCATCAATGGCCAATAGAGGGCACAGGACCCCATCAGTGGGCCAATAGAGGGCACAGAACCCCATCAATGGCCAAAAAAAATCACAGAACCCCATTAATGACCAAAAAAGTTCACAGAACTGCATCAGTAGCCGACAGAGGGCATAGAACCCATCAATGGACAAAAGGTTTTACAGAACCCACCAGTGGCCCAACAGAGGGCACGGATCCCCATCAGTGGGCCAATAGAGGGCACAGAACCCCATCAATGGCCAATAGAGGGCACAGGACCCCATTAATGGCCAATAGAGGGCACAGGACCCCATCAGTGGGCCAATAGAGGGCACAGGACCCCATCAATGGCCAATAGAGGGCACAGAACCCCATTAATGGCCAACAGAGGGCACAGAACCCCATCAGTGGCCAATAGAGGGCACAGAACCCCACTGCAAACCCACACCAATGGGCCGACAGAGAGCTGGTCAACCCCACTGTGCCGACTCCATGACACCGCTGTGTTTTCCACCCCCTGCAGCGGTGAAGTTTGGCCGCATGTCCAAGAAGCAGCGGGACAGCCTCTACGCCGAGGTACAGAAGCACCAGCAGAGACAGGAGCAGAGCGGTGGCCCCAAGGATGAGCCCGAACCCCTGAGCCGCATCTACACCACCAGCGTCAGCAGTGGCCTCTCAGACCTGGATGACATCTCCACGCTGTCTGACGGGCTCCTCTTCGACTTCCCCCTCACTCCTGATGGCAGCAGCACCTACTACAACCTCGACCTGCTGGCCTCGGCGCAGCCCTCGCCTGATCAGTCCAGCCTGGATGTGGCCGACGCCACGCTCATCAAACAGGAGTCCATCTATGAGCTGATGCTGGAGCCAGCCCTGTTTGCGCATGGGGCGCTGGAGGGCAGCCAGCTGGCTGGGGACATCTCCGTCCTTGAGATCGGTGAGGGATGAGTTGATTGGAAGAGTCCTTCAAGGTCACAGAACTGCAGAGTGATTGGGTTGGAGGGGTCCATAAGGATCATAGAACAACGGGATGGTTGGGACGGGAGGGGTCATAAAGATTCTAAAATGATGGAATGGTTAGGATGGAAAGGACTCTAAAGATCATAGAAGCATGGAATGAGTTGGTTGGAAGAGACCCTGAGGATCATAGCACTGTAAGATGGTTGGGTTGGAAGGGATCCCTAAGCCACCCAACCCCAGCCGTGCCATGGGCTGGGTGCCCCCCAGCAGCTCAGGCTGCCCAGGGCCCCGTGGAGACCCCCAGGGATGGGGGCACCCACAGCTCCAAGCGGTGCCAGGGCATCACCTCTATAGAGCACAGAATTTCCCCTTCGCATCTGACCTAAATTTCCCCTCTTCCACTTTAAACCATTCCCCCATATTCTATCCCCACCGCTTCGCAGACCGGATCGCCCAAAACGTGGTCAAGTCGCACCTGGAGACCTGTCAGTACACAGCAGAGGAGCTGAAGCACCTGGCCTGGAGCCTCTACTCCCCAGAGGAGGTCCGTGCCCTGCAGAGCAAGGTGAGATCCATCATAGGATCATGGAATCATTCCGGTTGGAAAAGAGCTCTCAGAGCCCCAAGCCCAAGCTCAGTGCGTCCCGCCATGCCTGCTGGTCGTGGCCCTCAGTGCCACGTCTCCACAGCTCAGAACACCTCCAGGGATGGCGACCCCATCACCGCCTCCCCCAGTTCCAGTGCATCACCACTCTTTTGGATATTGTTCTTAATACACAGCACATTTCTGCTCCTCTTGGGATCTGGTTGACCTCACTGTGGTCAGGACCCACGTTCCATCTCAACCCCAACCTTCTGTTGGGATCAGATTGACCCCGCTGTCAGGACCCACGTTCTACCCCAGCCCCAAATTTCTGTTGGGATCAGATGGATCCCATTGTGGTCAGGACCCATATTCCATCCCAACCCCAACCTTCTGTCGGGATCTGGTTGACCCCATTATGACTGGGACCCGTGTTTCATCCCAAGCCAAACCCAGCGGTGCTCCACGCAGGGACCCCTCTGCCCATCTCCGAAGCCTTTTGGAGCCATAGGGGTGGATCATGGGTTGGGGGCACCAATGGGGAGGTGGGAGGTGGGAATGCCCCGGGTGCCAATGAGCCCTAAGGGCTGTCCCTGCTGACCCCGCAGAGCTGTGAGGCCATGTGGCAGCAGTGCTCGCTGCACATCTCCAATGCCATCCAGTACGTGGTGGAGTTCGCCAAGCGCATCGATGGCTTCATGGAGCTCTGCCAGAACGACCAGATCATCCTCCTCAAAGCCGGTAAGGGCCGTCCCCAATGCCACCCCGAGCACAGATTTCCCTTTGGTGAAACATCGGGGTCACAACTGAAAGTCAAACAACAACAACAAAACAAAAGCAAACCCAAATGGGATCTACTGGAATAAACCCCAAACCCAAACTCACAGAATTGTAGGAATCACAGAATTGTAGGGGTTGGAAGGGACCTCCAGAGATCATCGAGTCCAACCCCAACTCAAATGGGATCTATTGGAATAAACCCAAAGACCAAACCCAAACGGGATCTGCTGGAATAAATCCCAATCCCAAACCCAAATGGGACCTATTGGAATAAACCCCAAACCCACATTGGATCTGTCTAACCGCCGTGCTCTTGGGAATGAACAATCTGGACTCCAAACTTGCACGGGGGGCTTTTCTCTCTCTTCCATTTGGTTGTGGGATGATGGAACCCCCTGCCCTCCCCTCCCTCGCCTGCTGTCCCTCTGCCTGTACCAGGTTGCCTCGAGGTTCTCCTGCTCCGTATGATCCGAGCCTTCAACCCCCTGAACAACACCGTGCTCTTCGAGGGGAAGTTTGGTGGCGTGCAGATGTTCAAGGCGCTCGGTGAGATCCGCTTCGGGGCCTCTTTGGGGCACCCTCCTCCTTTTGATGCCCGGATGGGGGATGCCCCCATGTGAAACACGGCATCCCTATGGCTGGGATCCCTAAAGGATCCATCCCTGTGACTGGAAAAGAACTCTGGGATCATCCAGTCCGACCTTAACACCAACCTTCAGTTGGGATTGGGTTGACCCCACTGTGGTCTGGACCCACTCTCCATCCCAACCCCAACCATTTGTTGGGATCAGGTTGACCTCATCGTGGTTGGGGCCCATGTTCCACCCCAATCCCAACCTTCTGTTTGGATCAGATTGGCCCAATTGTGCTTGGGACCCATATTCCACCCCAACCCCAACCTTCTATTGGGATCTGGTTGACCCCATTGTGATCAGAACCCACATTCCACCCCAACCCCAACCTTCTATTGGGATCTGGTTGACCCCATTGTGATCAGAACCCACATTCCACCCCAACCCCAACCTTCTATTGGGATCTGGTTGACCTCATCATGGTTAGGACCCATATTCCACCCCAACCCCAACCTTCTCTTGAGATCAGGTTGACCCCATTGTGTTCAGGACCCATCTTCCACCCCAACCCCAAGCCCAAAGATGCTCCACACAGGGGAGGAGCATCTCCAGAAGCTTTCGGAGCCATTGGGGTGGGATGTGGGTTGGGGGCCCCAATGGAGCCATGATGTCCCCCTGTCCCCCCCGTAGGATGCGACGACCTCATCAGCGCTGTCTTCGAGCTGGGAAGGACCCTGTGCCGCCTGCAGCTGTCAGATGAGGAGCTCGCCCTGTTCACTGCCGCTGTGCTGCTCTCCCCGGGTGTGTGGGGGCACAGGGGGGTCTGGGGCTAAAGCTGAGGGGCACAGGCCCTGAAATCCCAAATGATTTGTTATTTTTGGGGGGAAAGGCGGGTGGGGAAAACATGTATAACAGACACATCTGCCAAATGTCGGTGGGTGGAAGAGCTTTGTCCCAATGGCAGGGTTGAGGGTGGTGCGGGGTCGTCCCATGTCCCCAAAGCCACCCCAAGGATCTGGAAGGGTGGTGGGAAGAGCAGTGGGTTCCTCTAGAGTGTGGGGTGGAGCTGCAGCCATGGCACTGACCTGGCCGTCCTCACAGACCGCCCGTGGCTGACGGAGTCCAAGAAGGTGCAGAAGCTCCAGGACAAGATTTACGTGGCCCTACAGCACGAGATCCAGAAGAAACACTCCGCTGAGGACAAGCTCTCAAAGGTTGCAGTGCTGAGGGGAGCCCGGCTGGGGGAAAACCCAAAGAACCGAGGGATGGGGATGGGCAGCGTGTGGGGTGCCCAGAAAGCTGTGGGTGCCCCATCTCTGCATGGACCCTGGGCTGGGGGGGGGCAGACGGCCCATGGCAGGGGTGGGACTGGGGGTCTTTAAGGCCCCTTCTGGCCCAGCCATGCTGTGATTTTATGGTTCTGTGATCTTATGGGTCCCCCTCCAACCCAACCACCCTATGGCTCCGTGTCCTTTAAGATCCCTTCCAACCCAATGTCCCTTCCAACCAACTCATCCCGTGGTTCAGTCACCTTCAGGGTCCCTTCCCACCCAACACCCTACGGCTGTATGATCTGTAAGTCCCCTCCCAACCCATCCTACGGTCCTACAGTTCTGCCATCTCTGAGGACTCTTCCAACCCAACCATTCTGCGATTCTGGGATCTTTAGGGTCCTTCCCAACCCAATCGTTCAATGACTCTATGGCCAATGATTGGGAACTCACTGCTCCTCCTTTCCCTGCAGATGGTCTCCAAGCTGCCCCTGATGAAGACCATTTGCAACCTGCACTTGGACAAACTGGAATTTTTCCGTCTCCTGCACCCGGAGACGGCCATGAACTTCCCACCCCTCTATAAGGAGGTCTTCAACTCGGAGCTGCAGTACAGCGACCCACGGGAGAGCTAAGGCTGGGAGCTGCCAGCCCCCTCCCCGGCCCCAAATCCGGAGACGAACTGAACCCTGAGGTTTGGGGCCGTCCGTTTAAATCGCGTAACCAAACCCAAGACAGCGGGGTGTTGGATTGCAATAGCTCTTGAATGTAAAGCACCTTTGAAGGAAAAGCAAAAGGACTTTGCCGTACCCGTGAAATGAATGTGAAATCTCCACTCGGGAGAGGAGATGCTCCTGGAGGTGCGCGGCGCCGACTCGTCCTCGATCCGGGGGAGCGGAACCAGAGGGGTGTGGGTCGGTGCTGCCCATCAGCAGAACTCATAGGGAAGGACACGGAGCGAACCTCACCATGGAAGAGTCGCCAGGAAGGCGATGGCATTTGGAGAAGCGGGGGGTTTTGCAGCCGTGTGGTTTTGTAGCTTCGTGTCCCGACTCACGGCAGCATCTGTGGGTCCGTCAGCCCCAATTCTGCCCCCCGGTGTTGGTGGAACCCATTGAGCGTCCCAGTGCTGAGTGCCAACCGGGGATGCGCCGCGCGCGTTTCCTGCCCTCCCGGATCCTGAAGGTGGACAAGAAGGGAAGAGTCAGAATTGCCTTTTTCATCTTTGGGATTTGTCAACGTCAGCGTCGCCGTCTTCATTTCATCGGCAAAGAAAGCATAAAAGCACCTTAAACTGGGGAAGGATGAACCCTGGTGGGAGAGATTTGGGGTTCTGAGCGAGAGGAGCCCACATGGGAAGAGTGGAAGTATTGAATACCAATAATTCAACTGCCCAACACGGGAACCTGCACTTTTCAGTTCTCTTTATAGGAACGGACTCGTTGAGTTATTTATTGAAGGGATGGAGTGGATTTTCACAAGGAGGGGCTTGGGGCCCTGCAGTGCTGCCATCCCAAAGCCAAACCCAGGGGTCTTGGTGGTACGTGTCAAAAGGGATGGGAATGGAGCGCCGGAACCTTAACCCTACCCCTTACCTCCACCTCTAACCCTAATCCCCAACTCTTAACCCTAACCCCTACCCCTAATCCTAACTGTAACCTCTAACCTATGACCCAGAACGCTACCCCTAATCCTAACCCCTAACTCTTAACCCTAACCCCTAACTCTTAAACCCAACCCATAATCCTGACCCCTAACCCCCACCCCTAAACTTCACCCTAACTGTAACCCCTAACCTATAAACCTAACTCTTACCTCTACCCCCTAACCATACCCCCACTCCTATCCCTTAACCCGTAACTCTTAACCCTGCCCCTAATTCCTACCCTTAGCCCCTTACCCCTAGCCCCCTACCCTTACCCTACCCCTACCCCTCTTACCCCTACCCCTCTTACCACCTACCCCTTTCCCCCTTACTCCCTAACCCTCTTCTTCTTTTCCTACCCCTAACCCCTGCCCCCTAACCCTCTTACCCTTAACCCCTACCCCCCTTATCCCTACCCCCTTACTGTACCCCCTAACCCTTTTACCCTTAACCCTTTTCCCCCTTCCCCCTTTCCCTCCATCCCTCACCCCTCTCCCTCACCCCACGTTCCAGCCCCATGGGGCCGCGCTCTCCATGTGCGCTCCGTTCCACGTGGATGCGTTCATCTGCCCGCGTCCCCCCACCCTGTGTATAAAAACAGATCAAACATAAATTATATCTATTCCTGTGAATGTCGGTGCAAAGAGAATGCTCTCGACGAAGCTCCGATGGCTTTTATCTTATTTTAAGCTCTATGAATGAATGGAAGGAATGGGAGATCCCGCGTTCCGTGTCCCGGCTCTGCACCCATGGGTGCTGGTGGCCCCGATGGGAACCCACTGCCGTTTAGGGGACGTGAGTGGGATGTTCTGTCCGATGGGAATTTCTATTTTTTTAAAGAAAAGAAAATGATGAATAAAACCTCTTTGGGCCCACGCAGCCGTAGGAGCGGAGAAGTGTTTATTTAAGGACTTTGTCGGACGTTTTTCATGACGTTAAATAAAGATGAGATGGATGGAGAGCGGAGGGGAACGTGTGGGGCTGCATGGGAACAATGTGGGGAGCAGTGAGTGTGACCCCAATGGCGCTGAGCGGGTTTCCATGCATGGAACCCATTGCTGCATCTGCCCCATAACCTCCAGTACTGACCCGGACTGGTAGCCCAGTGTCCCCAGTAGTGCCTGTTCAGTGGGGCAGAGGGACCTCTGCTGGTGTGGGGCTCAAATGTTCCCTTCCTGCTTGTGTTCTCACAGTGGCTGACCCACAGAACCTGACCCACAGAACCTGACCCACAGTGCTGGATACATAGAACCTGACTCCATACAACCTGACCTACAGCATCTGACCCATAGAACCTGATCCCATGGCACCTGACCCACAGGACCGGCCCCCCCAGCATCTGACCCATAGAACCTGACCCACAGCACAGGACTCATAGGACCTGACTTACAGGATCTAACACTACAGCTCCTGATCCCACAGGACCTAACCCATAGAACCTGACTCGTAAAACCTCAGGACCTGACCCACAGAACCTGACCCACAACCTCACCCCCAGCACCTGACCCATAGAACCTGACTCCATACAACCTGACCTACAGCATCTGACCCATAGAACCTGATCCTATGGCACCTGACCCACAGGACCGGCCCCCCCAGCATCTGACCCATAGAACCTGATCCCATAGCACCTGACCCACAGGACCGGACCCCCCAGCATCTGACCCATAGAACCTGATCCCATGGCACCTGACCCACAGGACCGGACCCCCCAGCATCTTACCTACAGAACCTGACCCACAGCACAGGACTCATAGGACCTGACTTACAGGATCCAACACTACAGCATCTGACCTACAGCTCCTGATCCCACAGGACCTGACCCATAGAACCTGACTGGTAAAACCTGAACCCTCAGGACCTGACCCACAGAATCTCACCCTTCAGGATATGACCCATAGCACCAGACCCACAGGATCTGAACCACTGCACCTGACCCATAGAACCTTACCCCAGTGTCTGACCCATTGAACCTCACTCCATGGCACTGGACCCATGGAACCTGACCCTCAGAATGTGTGTGGGGCTGAGCTCCCCATGGGGTTCTGTCAGCCCCATGACATTGTGTGGGGACACGTTGGGTCCACGGCTGCCTCTAAAGCAGCAGCCTCCCAAATTGTGTTTCTTATTTTAACAGAAATACTGTTTTTTCGGACTTACTTTGACGCCTCTCTGGAAGGCTAGGCCGACTCAGATATTCTGGGGCCACCACCCCTCCAACGCCGTCGCCATGGCCGAGGGCTGCCACGTGGTGGCAAACGTCCCCTTCGGCTGCGATGGATTTCAGTTCTTCGCCCCTCCCATAATGATGTCCCTCTCCGCTCCCCGTAGCGCAGTCAGCCCGCACCGTCACGTGACGCGCGCTGGGCGCCGCCGCGACGCACTCTGGGAGTTGTAGTCCAAAGAGCGGGGGGCGCTGCGGCCGCGCTGCGGTTTGGGACTCTCTTTCCCATCGAACCCCGCGACGCCGCGGAGGGAGCGGGGGAGCGGCGCCGAGCGGAGCGGCGGTGCGTGCGGGGCTCCGGTGATCCGTTCTGGGCCGTGGGACCCTGAGAGAACAGCGGGGTGCTGGGGGGGGGAGGGTCCTTGCAGGTCAATGGTGAAGTGGTTGGGGTGCGAGGGTCCTTGCGGGTCAACCATGGAGTGGTTGGGGTGGGAGGGTCAGGGTCCTTGCAGGTCAACTATGGAGAGGTTGGGTGGGATGGTCCTTGCAGATCAATGCTGAAGTGTTTGGGGTGGGAGGGTCCTTAGAGGCCAATTGTGGAAAGGTTGGGGTGGGAGGATCCTTACAGATCAATGGTGGAGAGGTTGGGTGGGAGGGTCCTTGCAGGTCAGTGCTGAAGTGCTTGGGGTGGGAGGGTCCTTAGAGGTCAGCTATGGAGTGGTGGGGTGAGGGGATCCTTGCAAGTCATTCTCAGAGCCATCAGACCTCTGGAGCGGCTGGGGTTGATCCTGTCCCTGTTCACTGACAGCAGTGCAAGGATTCCCCATCGGTGTGCAGGAGGAGCACGCTGTGCTGCCGTGCCCTCCCAGGGCTCACCTGGCTTCACCCAGTCCATAGGAAATGCATTGCAGCCGTAGTTGCAGCACTGCAAAGCTCCCCCCCACCCCGACCCACCCACACACAAACACACACATACAAACACACACATACAAACACACACCTTTGGAGCAGTGCTTTGCTCTGCAATTAACTCTGCCTGTTCTGTGCCAGCAGCTGGGAATCCTCTGCAGGGAGCCAGGTACCATCCCAGCCCCAATGAGGCACTGAGACGGTGAGTGGGTGCTTTGCTTTGGGGGGGCTGGGGGGCACTGGGGGCGCTCCTGCAGGTTGCAGCACTGTGGGCTGTGCTGGCAGCGTGCTGCTGCCCACATGTGCTGCCTCAGCCCTTCTTTGCTTCTGCTTCTCAGTAGATCTGCTGCTGTTTGGCTGCTGTGGCCCAGCAACGCCCTGAACCACCATGGCAGGTAAGGACCCCTCGATGCACAGCAGAACGCTTCCAGATCCCATTTCTCAGCACGCTGCTGTAGCTGGAACCCGTCGCTGCAATACTTCACAGTGACCCCCAAAGCTCTGCAGCTCCTTCCTCTCCTTTCCCCCACTGCTGTGTTCCCCATGCAGCGTCCTGAGGTCGCAGCTGTGGCGATGAAGGCTTTGATTCCCCTCACAGCATCCTGCCTGCGCTCTCCCTCTTAATGCAGCTTAATTGCAGCGAGGTGACTCAGGCCAGCTTTAAAAGCTCACAGATGCAGTGCAGCTCTGGGCACTCCCCATACAGTTACACACGGCTCCTGCAGTGTCTGCTCACACAGACAGCAGCTGGGGAAGGGAACTCTCGCACTGACAGCCCCTGCTCAGACATTTCCTCTTCTGTGCCATTTGGAGCTTTTCCCAGCACATTCCTCATCTCTCCCCCTGCTTGGCTCTAATGCTGTTTACTGGGGCGGAAGGAGATGAGATGCAATTAGTCGCCCTGGCCTGCAATCAAACTTTAATCAGCAGTGCTCCCCAAGGTGCAGGGGCTGCATGCAGGCACACACCGGCAGCCCTGCCTGCAAGCTGACAGCAGCTTTCATACAGGGCTTGGGGCGTTTAATTAGTTGATATTGAAATGCAATTTGTCCCCAAGATGAATTTTTCTGTGTCACTTCCCATCAGCGTGTGCTGATTTGTGGTGTCTGAGTGCAAAGCTTTTGCTTTCTGTTCACTGGCGGGGCTTTGTGTTGCCTAAAGACCCATTTTGGAAAGAAGGGGGTACATCCCTGAATGCCTTAACAACAGAATCCTCCCCCACACCACGCCTGCACTGAGCTGGTGCCTCTGAGTCCCAAATCCCTGTTAGAGAGATGCCTTCCAAGGGCAAACTCCTTTGGGGCTCCCTTCTTTCATTGGGAACCCCTCCTTTGGGGCTCCCTTCTTTCATTGCAAACCCTCCTTTGGGGCTCCCTTCTTTGGGGTTCCCTCTTTGAGATTCCCTCTTTGGGCCCCCCCTCTTTCAGACCCCCTCCTTTGGGACTCCCTTTTTGGGACCCCCTCCTTTGGGATCTTTGGGGTTCCTCCTTTGGGACACTCATTTTGAGGAGTTGTTTTGTTGGGTTTTTTTTTTAATTATCCTTGTCCTGAGAGTGGGATGCACGCTGGGAAGGTGCAGAGGATGCCCCACTTACAAGAACATCTCAGCATTCAGCTCATCTGCTGTGTTCTGTGTTGTAGAAAAGGTGAATAACTTCCCGCCGCTCCCCAAATTCATCCCCCTGAAGCCCTGCTTCTACCAGAACTTTGGGGATGAGATTCCCATCGATTACCAGTCCCTGGTGAAGAGGATCTACCACGTCTGGATCTGTACGTTGGATAAGGAAGCTGCCCCGGTTGTGGGTGTGTGGTTGAGTTGGAAGGGGCCCTGAAAGACCATCCAGTCCCACTCCTGCACCGAGAAGCGACAAAATCCCTTCAACCCCAACCATTTCTGTGGTCTCATGGCTCTAAGGATGACCTGTAAGGACTCTTCCACCCCCCTCATTCCAGGGTTGGCCTCTAAGGACCCTTGGAACCCAACAACTCCACTTTTGACCTTATGGACCCTCCCACCTCAAGCTTTCCACAGTTGACCTGTAAGGACCCTGCCACTCCAACCACTCCATGGTTGACCTGTAAGGACCCTCCCATCCCAGCCTTTCCACAGTTGACCTCTGAGGACCCTTCCCATCCCAACCACTCAGTGGTTCAATGGGCGACCATTGAGGTCACAGAATCTCAGGATGGGCTGAGTTGGAATGGAGCTCTAAGGGTTGTCTGGTTGTACTCCTGCTCTGAGCAGGGACCCCCACAGCTCCACTGGATGCTCAGAGCCCCATCCCCTGACCTCTGGCGTCTCCAGGAGTGGAGACTCATATTAACTGACATTTTTCCTGTAACCCTTGCACATGAATCCCCAACGAGGGCTCATTTAAAGGAAATCTTTCTTGCTGGAGAAATTACCTACAGCTCCCACGTGTGCATGAGCAGAGTAGTAATGGAAATTAAAAATAGCAGCTGTGAGGAAGACAGTCTGGGGTGCTGAGTGCAGAATGGACATGCTCAGCAATGGAGCACAGCACTGGTGCCCTCTGGGGTCTGCTGGCAGCTGTTTCTCTATCCGAGGGGCAGAACAGGGAGTGTGAAAGGGCCTGGATGTCTCTGTGTTTTCAGCCTGGTTGCAGTCTGCTGTTCCCTCACTCAAGGCAGCACTTAGGAGCCCTGGAACCACTCCCAGGCTTCCTCAGAGGCTGCAGGAAGCAGAGGGAGAGCCTGCAAGGTGCTGTGCTGGTGTCTGACAGCTCCTGGGCAGCCCCAGAGAGCGCAGGGCCCACAGCTCTCCTCTTTCATAAAGGGGTTTTGCTACCAACAG